CTCTTCTTCCAACAATAGTCTGTTAGATTTAGGCTTTAGAGGAAAGCGAAACTGACGAGAGGCTCCAACAGGATAAGCTGCTAATTCTAAAGGAGGAGCCGAAGGAATAGTAGGACATGGCTCCTGATATAAAGGAGTGGTAGCATGGTTTATATTTTCTTCCAATTTAACCATCAAATTTTTTAACTTTGAAAGTATATCAGAAATATCATTCTGTTGAGAAAGTGGCATCTCATTTTGTTTGCTAGTCTGCTCCCGATCTTTATCATCATCAGAAAAAGCCCCTTCATCACTGGAACCTGAAAAATCCTCTCCTGTCTTAGACACAAGGGGAGGAGGAAGCGGAGGAAGGTCCTCTATAGGAGACTCACGAGACAGAGTACGAAAAGCAGCAGAATGATCAGGAGCAGAATTTGGACGCTGAGAGCGCGCCCCATGTTCACTTTTAGTTTCAGATTGTAATGGTTCCAGGGCACGGGAAATGAAACGACAAAGAGACCAAACACGGACAGATATAGGGTCTCCATGTTGATGAGCTCTTCTTAAGGCTTGCATAACCTGTTTCCAAACTTTTAAATTCAACTGGTTATGACCAGTAGGTTGAAACCAGTAACAATGTTTACGTACCAGCGCAAACAATTCATCAAAAGATTCTGGTTTCACTTTCACACCTGAACTCCTTAATAACTGTTTGAGGAGTTTAATGTATTGAAATTCTACTGAATGGGAATTTCCCATGACTCTATTGCTCCCGAAGGTTTCGCTTACTCTTGAGCGGACCAATTTCTCCTTCGGTCCCGTGATCGCGCGATTACTTACCTTCAGGTCCCTGTTCGGGCGCCAAATGTTGTAGTTTATCTTATGACAGGGCCGAAAGTAAGCTCATCACACGAGATGAATTGTGCAGAAGCACAGCAGTAGAGGGCTGCCGCTCGCTCAGGCAAAACAGCGCCGTCTGTCCTGCTGTGGTAGCTTTTATTAAAGCATTATCTATGTTAACATTTTAAGACTTGTTTTCTTAACACTTTAGAAATGCCAAAGCAGCAACCTATGTTTTTATTAACTATACAAGCAATAATTGGCTTTCTTGAAAACATGCCGTGCTTCGTCCTTGAGCGCAAAAGCAGCACAAAGTTCCCACCATTATTTTGATTATACTGAAGTAACACAAGGACACATTGCCTTGTGTTCCCACCATACTGATTACACTGAGGACATTCTCACGGATCAGCGCCCAAAGCACTTAATGCTTCTTCGCAGGCCCCCGGTTTGCCGCGGTGGGGGGGGGGGCGCGCTCAAAGCATTCAGGACTGTTCACAGTTCTGGCTTATTTGCATGTCCCCGGTTTGCCGGAGGGGGGGCGGGGCTCAAAGCAATCAGGACTGCTTGCAGTTCTGGCTTATTCGCCAGCCCCCAGTTTGCTGGGGGGGGGGGGCTCATGGGTCACGTCTCCTTTCCATGTCCTCAGTTATTCCACTACACAGGGAAATATAGCCATTAACTTGTAATAACTTTAAATGGAGTATAACCTATAAAAATATTGAATCACTATGTTGTACACCTGAAACTAATATAATATATTGTAAATCAGCTGTACTTCAATTTAAAAACAAGATTTAAAACTTGAGATCAAAAGACATGATAGAGTAACCAAAACTAGGTCACAGATTGGGAAAAAATATTTACAACATGGAATAGCATATAAATAAACATAAATAACTGCTAAAAACCATAGACTGCCCTAGAGGAAAATGTGCAAAATTATGAATTCACAGAAAGGAAGAAAAAAACCGAATAGGCGATAAACACACGACAATGTTCCATCTCATTGTCAGTCAGGCAAATGCAATATGTTTATGAAGATGCACATACCCTATTATCCAGCAATTCTTATCTCAGAGCTATTTTTGCATATCAAAGAGCCATATCCTAGAATCTCTAAAGCAGCACCGTTTTTTAAAAGTAAAAACAGGAAAATAATTTAAATGTCCAATCACCCAGAGGATGGATATCTTGTGCGAGTCAGTTCGTGTATGTGTGAGAGGTGTGCACAGTTAACTATTCCTGTCCAGCTGTTTTGCAGTGGCCTCTCCTGGGACCCTCATATCCACAATCAAGTACTGTCAGCAGTTCAGTGCTTCTCCACCACTGTGTTGTTGGGTATATCACAGATCCACGCATTAAGCCAGAGAATGTCTTGGTTTGGATGGAGAAAATGTAAAACCAAGATCAAATCCATGCCCTCCAGGGGGCATGGCAGGGAAAGCAAGGAAGGTTTCAGTTGAATGTGGGGAGTGCTATTAGAGAGAGGTATTTAGAGGATGCTATGATGTATGAAGAGATGAGCACGTGCCCAAAATGTTGCTGGTGTTGAGAGTGAATGGCTGATATGAAGGAGTTCAGAAGAAGAAAGAGGAAAGGCATTCCAGAGGAAGCAGTCATGAGGATATGATGCATTTGGGAAAGATGAAAGTCATCTGGTATGAGTAAAATTCATACCGTGAATAGGTAACAAGATTAGGCTGAAAAGGCAGGTCCAGTTCAGCTCAGAGGTTCTTTTATGTCGTGTTAATGAGTTTGCATTTATTTTTAAATTTTTATTTAGTTTTTGGCTGCACTGCGAGGCATGTGGGATTCAAGTTCCCTGAACAGGGATGGAACCCATGTCCCGCCCCCGCAGTGGAAGCACAGAGTCCCAACCACCAGAAGTCCCTAATTTATAATTTTTTAAAAATTTTATTGAAATATAGTTGATTTACAATGTTGTGTTAGTTTCAGGTGTACAGCAAAGTGATCCAGATATATATATCTGAATATAAATATATAATATTCTTTTCCATTATGGTTATTACAAGATACTTAGTGTACTTCCCTGTGCTATAGAGTAGGTCCTTGTTGGTTATCTATTTTATATTTTCATCCCAAACTCCTAATTTATCCTTCTGCTTTGGTAAGCATAAGTTTGTTTTCTATGTCCGTGAGTCTATTTCTGTTTTTTAAATTTGTTTTCTATGTCTGTGAGTCTATTTCTGTTTTTTAAATAAGTTCATTTGTATCATTTTTTAGATTCCACATGTAAGCAATATCATATGTTGTCTTTCTCTGTCGGACTTCATTTGATAATCTCTAGGTCCATCAATTTTGCTGCAAATGGCATTACTTCATTCTTTTTTATGGCTGAGTAATAGTCCATTGTGTATATATACCACATCTTCTTTATCCATTCATCTGTCGATGTACACTTAGGTGGCTTCCATATCTTGGCTATTGTTAAGTAGTGCTGCTATGAAACTGGAGTGCATGTATCTTTTCAAATGAGATCTTTCTGGATATATGCCCAGGAGTGGGATCGCTGGATCACATAACTCTTTTTAGCTCTTTAAGAAACTTCCATACTGTTCTCCGTAGTGGCTGCACCAATTTACATTTCCACCAACAGTGTAGGTGGGTTTCTTTTTCTCCACACCCTCTCCAGCATTTATTCGTAGACTTTTTGATCATGGCCATTCTGACTGGTGTGAGGTGGTACCTCGTTGTAGTTTTGATGTGCATTTCTCTAATGATTAGCAATGCTGAGCATCTTTTCATGTGCCATCCTCATGTCTTCTTTGGAGAAATGAGTTTTCACTTATAACAAAATTGGAAACTTCTTAAAAATTTCTTTTGAGAATAACATTAGAGTTGCATTTTAGAAAAACCAATTTGTCCCAAGAGTGATAATGTATTACTGGAAAAAGCCAGAGGCAGGGAAATCTGTTAGGAAAAACACTTGAAAAAACAAAGTTTTGGGGGCTTCCCTGGTGGCGCAGTGGTTGAGAGTCTGCCTGCCGATGCAGGGGACACGGGTTTGTGCCCCGGTCCGGGAAGATCCCACATGCCGCGGGGCAGCTGGGCCCGTGAGCCATGGCCGCTGAGCCTGTGCGTCCAGAGCCTGTGCTCCACAGCGGGAGAGGCCACAACAGTGAGAGGCCCGCGTACCGCGAAAAAAAAAAAAAAGTTTTTCAAAAGTGAGCTTATATGGTGTCAGCAGAGATAGAGAAGGGCTTTTATTTGGGATAAATTTAGTAGACTGAGTGTAGGAAAATCTAAGATCATTATCAAGTTTACAGCTCTGGAGATTAGTTATAATTTTGAGGTGAGAAAAACAGGAGTGTAAAGAAAAGAGAAAAGAGTGAGGGCTGGTACTAATCAGGAGTCTTATTCTGGGCATTCTGTGTTTGAGATGTCTGTGGAAGTCAGAAACCATCAGGAGGAAGCTGGAAATATGAACATGGATTTATAGATTTAAAAGTCATCATCACCTCACAGAGAACAGAGGAAATTGCTGCACAAGGTGTGGTTCAGGAGAGCCAGACAGACAGGCGAATGGACAGGTACAGCTGGCTGTTAGATTTGGTTGGGGGCACGCTTCTTCCCCATTCTTGGCATTTCTTTCCACTTACAGGAGGCTCCACCAGCACATCATTCCTAGTCTCTGCCTCCTCATTCACTTTGTTCAGGTCTAGGGATATACTATCAGGTTCTCCAAAATTAATTCATTACGGTTAAATGAGGTCACAGGGTTGGGGTACTAATCCAATAGGACTGGTGTCCTTATTAAAGGAAGAAATACCAGAGACACCCCACCCTGCCCAGAAAAAACCCACGTGAGGACACAGGGGGAAAGTGACATCTGCAAGCCAGGAAAAGAGGCCCTCAGCAGACACCAACCTTGCTGGCACCTTGATCTTGGACTTCCAGCCTCTAGAACTGTAAGAAAATAAATTTCTGTGGTTTAAGCCACCCCGTCTGTGGCATTTTCCTATGGCAGCCCCAGCAGACTAAAACACCCATAATGTAAGGAACTTTTGTCCCAAGAAACTTTATTACAAAAAAGAGAGGGAAAAGGCTAAAGGAGGAGCTCTAACCTGACTCTCACATCAGGATGACCAGCGCCTTCCACAAAAAGCCTGCTTTCCTCCAGTCTCTAGACGCTGTGCCTGGATTATCTGGAAACTTCGTCAAGGAGCCCTCACGGCCGCCTGCTCCGTGCTGGCCAGTGTGGCTGAAGCATGTTGGCTGAATTTTCCGTCCTGCCTCAGCCAGAGCCAACAGAGCCAGTGGTCCCACCGCAGAGCTGTCACTACTTTGAGTGGAGTGACCTCGAGACTGAAGGGCTGCTCCCTGGCGTGCACAGCAATGTGGGTGTTGAGCGCCCCCAGGTAGGTGAAGCCCCTTCCACACTCAGCACAAGAAAAAGGCCTCTCCCCGCGGTGACGGTGCAGATGGGTCTCCAGACTTCTCTTCTGGAGGAAGCTCTTGCCGCACTCGGGGCACCGGACGGGCTTCTCGCCGCTGTGGACGCGTATGTGCTCCGTGAGCCTGTACCGCTGAGCGAAGCTTCGGCCACACGTCGCACAGGAGAAGGGCTTCTGGCCGCTGTGCTGGAGCAGGTGGCTCTTCAGGTTCCCTCTGAGCCGGAAGCCCCTGTCGCACTCGGGGCACCGGAAGGGCTTCTCCCCGCTGTGGACCCTCGCGTGCTCGGCGAGCTGGGACAGCTGAACGTAGGCCTTGCCGCACTCGCCGCACGGGAAGGGCCGCTTGCCCGCGTGCCGCCGCCGGTGCAGATTCAAGGAGGCCTTCCAGGAGAAGCTCCGGCTGCACTCGGGGCACCGGAAGGGCTCGGCCCCGCCGTGGAGTCGCCGATGCTCGGCGACGTGCGCACGGCGGTGGAAGCCCCGGCCGCACTGGGCGCAGAAGGGCTTCTCCTCAGTGTGTACCTGGAGGTGCCGCGTGAGCCCCGAGCGCCAGGGGAAGGTCCTCCCGCACCGCTCGCAGGGGAACGCCGTCTGCCTGGCGTGGATGCGGCGGTGACGCGCGAGCTTCGAGGGCCGTGTGAATCCCCGGCCGCACTGCCCGCAGGAGAAGGGCTTCTCCTGGCTGTGCAGACGCTGATGCGCCTTCATAGTGTTCCTCCAGCAGAAGCTCCGACCGCACTCTGGGCACCGGAAGGGCTTCCTCCCGCTGTGCCGACAGAGGTGGGCCCGCAGGCTGCTCTTGAGGCGGAAGCTTCTCTGGCACTGCGGTCACCGGAAGGGCTTCTCCCCCGTGTGAACTCGGACGTGTTCGGTGAGCTTGCTCCGGTGGGTGAACTTCCGGTCACAGTCGTCACAGGAGAATGGCTTCTCCCCGCGGTGTGCCCGCCGGTAGGCCCTCGCGGCCGCCTCCCGCGAGGGGCCTCTGCCGCCTGCGGACCCTGGAGGGGTGTCCTCCCGCTGTGCACCTGCAGGTGCTCGGCCAGCTTGTCCTGCTGGGTGAACCCCCGGCTACACTCCCGGCTGGGCGAACACGCATGCTTGTTCAGGGCGGCTTTGGACCGGAAGGCCCTGCCACACTTGGGGCACTGGAAGGGCCACGGGCCCGGGTGAGCCACCTGGTGCAGGGCCAGGCTGCACCTGAGACAGCTGCTCTGCTCGCACGCGCCGCGCCGGAAAGGCTGCTTACACGGGACCGGCCGGAGCCACCTGAGCTCCACCTTCTCCCTGGACTTGTTTTTGTGCTTCGGGTATTGACAGGACTGGCTCTCGCGGTGGTTCCTTTTGTGCTTCACAAAGTCTCTCTTTATCTGGAAGACCTTCCTACAGACAAAGCAGAAATAAAGTCTCAGACCTGGTGGAATTTCCAGGTGATCTGGGGTTCCCATTGGCTTATGCTGTGGATCATTCTTGTCCTGATTAGATGCTGTGATGTCGAGGCTTTTATTTAGAATCTCTGTTTCTTGGAGACTTGGGTGTTGTAAGACGGCTCTTTGATCTGATAAAATCTTTCTTTCCTCCTTGGATAAGGGAGCACAGAAGCCCTGCTCTTGGAGGCCATTTAAATGGCATTCCTCCTCTTTTGCCCCGAGAGTTCCCTGGTCACCTGGAGAGACAAAAAGGCCCACCTCATCAGTGATGGGTCTGCGGGGTCAAGGACTGTCTTCACATCACTGACAACGTGGGAAAGGGACTTCCGTTGTCCCCATGACTTTGTGAATCTGCCTGCCACAGGTGAATTATATTGAAGTTTAACTTGGATGTACAAATCCTTTCATCATTTGTTAACAAGACTTAGCGTGAAAAAAATGGCAGGCAAATACATTTTGTGAGCCTATGAGGACCCTCAGAGGCTAAGCAGAACTTGGAAGAAAATAAAAATGAGTTACTCTGAGAATCTGACCATTTCATTATAATATTTCTTTAAATCTGTGAAATAAATAGCACAATATTTCAGTAGGAAGGCTTCGGGTCATATTCTTGCACGCTTTCACCACAGATTTCAGGAAAAGTTTTCTGAAGAAATGCTAATAGGAAGTATCTTTCTTAGGAATGTCAAATGGCAATTTACTGAATTCACAAAGAAAACTGTGGAAATAATTCCCTTTTCCAAGGAACTCCGAATTATAAGAAAGTCACTGGTGTTCCCAAAGTAAAAGCCATGATGACAGGGTACAGAGGGAGCTGAGCTGGCACCTTATTCTCACCCACCACACCTGGAGAGGACAATTCCCGACCATCATCTGAGCTGCTGTATTCCAGAACATCTTTTTCTCCCTCATCCTGTTGCAGTGGGTCACATAGCTCTCCTTTTTTAAATCTCTTAACCTGGGAGCAAACCTCACCTATCAGGCTTGCCCCAGAGCAGCACTCTGATTCTGCTCTGAGGTCCTCTCAACAACACAGATGTTTCCAACTAGATGATGTCATTTACTAAGTTAGCACCCACAGCTTTTGCCTGGACCATGAGAAGAGCATACCTGCCTGTCTCCTTGAATCCTATTTCTCATCACTTACTGTTTATCCCAGGCAGGGGAGTAGTTGTGTTACTGGTTGAGTACCACCTGGTACAAAGGAAACATTTGTTTTTAGGGACAGCCACCAACGTCGTTCATTCTTTGGTACTCAAAAACCTTTCCAGGCCCTTTCTAAAGGATGAAATTAAACTCCCACCATGGCATTTTTGGTCTCTGATACCAATTATGTGCCACCACTGCCACCACCACCCCCCATCTTCCACTATGTTCCACAAATAATATTCAGCTATACTCAGCGCCTTCCATTTTCTTAAATATAACAGGCTTGTTCCCACCCCTAAGCCTCAGCTCATGTATGACCCCTGTTGAATCTTCTTTGCCTTACCAAATATGCCCATTCTATGCTATTTAAATCCTAATTCCTTTAGAAGTCCTCCTGGGATATTGCTGTCTCTCCTCTGCTTTCTCCTCTAAATCCCTATAGCGCTTATCATTGCCACTTACTATTTATAAGTGTATACAGTCTTATTTTATAGTTGACTAATCCAATAGTTATAATTGACTAACCTAACTGCCATGTCAGTAGGTCAGTAAGACAGACAATAAACTCTTAGAGTGGGAAAATACATATATATATATATATATATCTCCCAACCCCTGGCCTAAATAATATGTGACATAGTCCTATGAACATGGTAGGGACAATACTGATTAGATGAGTGAATTAATAGACGGTAGCAGTGAAATGAAGCCCCTGGGAATTCTTTTATCCTCCAATGGAGCTAGTCACACACTTCCTGGGTTTAAATTCCCTCTTTTTCAGGAGAGTCCTTGATACCCAGAGACTTAGTAGATCTCCATTTAGTAAAGCATTAACATACTCTAAAAAATGGCACATTCTCTTAAATACTTAAAGTATTAATATATTTAAAATGTTTTCCTTATGATACAAGGAATTAAAAAGTAATCCTTCAAAAGGAATAAAAAAATCCCAAGTTCTAAAAATCTGTACAATAAAAAAACATATTGTACAAAATTGGAAGGCTTCTCATTTCTCTGTACACAAATGGACATGATGATGTGATGGGGAAGACCGTTTTTCCTCAGGACTGGACAAATGGATCCTTTACTGTTCTCTTAAAGGCAGTTCCATTTTCTGTTTTTTTTTTAAATGAAATATATACAACTTCCTTCTTTATAAAAGTAAGACATTCTTATATTTGCTACCAACTTGAGTGAAAAAAAATAACATTCTCCGTCAAAATAATATTTCTTATTCACTACATCCTGCTGACTCTGCAGAAAGATTAGCAAACAAGGCTAGGAGAATAAATGACCAGGCCCTCAAATCCATCTACTCACCAGAAAGGCTAAGTGTCATTTGTGATTTCTCTAAGTGTCCTTGGTCTCTGATTAACAGCATTCTTCCTTGTTCCATCCAGGTGATCAAATCTGGCTTTGAAGAAATACAGCCTGCAGAGAAAGTCCACACAGACTCAGTCTGGGTTTCCTGAGTACTTGACTAAAAACAATTTTAGTTTTTAATTTTTTATTTTAACTTTAGTTTCATGGTTGACCTTGATCCCTGGAGACATGAGATCAATGTTAGGTTAAAAAAATGGAAACCCTTGAAATTACATGAGTAACTGTTAAATGTTCCTGACAATATTTCACAAAATTAAAGGAAACAGAGAGGGTGGGGATGATGAGGATCCAGGCAGAAAGTATTCAAAAGGGATCATTATGAGAACAATGTGAGTAGAATAAAAAGCAGTCGGGCGGGGGGGTGGGGGGGGCGGTCAAGGAAGGAACCCAGGTGACTAAACTTTTCTGATTAGACTCTGCACATCTAAGGAACTAATTACTGAGGTGCCCACATTCTTTCTAATATTTTATTTATTTATTTGGTTGTGCCACGTCTTAGGTGCAGCAGGCGGACTCCTTAGTCGCAGCTTGTGGGCTCCTTAGTTGTAGCTCGCCAGTTCCTTAGTTGTGACATTCGAACTCTTAATTGCAGCATGCATGTGGGATCTAGTTCCCTAACCAGGGATCGAACCCGGGTCCTCTGCATTGGAAGGAGGATTCTTTACTACTGTGCCACCAGGGAAGTCTCGCCCACATTATTTCTTGATCAACGTAATGAAGGAACCAGGAGGCTGTTAAATGACAGTGATTATGAAGAAGTGGAGAGTAATGTGTCTAATGACATCAGCCTGAAGGGAGGAGGGGTTGTTACAAAGTAGTGGAGGGATTTTAGAAGATGCATCAGATACCCTGCAGTGGTGTCACCTATGGCTCAGCCCTTGGATCAGTGTTTCTCGAAGTGACCTTGTTACCACCAGCATTTGCAGCACCTGAAGTACTTGTTTAAAACGTAGATTCCTGGGCCTGAGCTTGGACCTGCTAAATCCTAATCTCTGGAGTTAGGATCTGGACATCCCGTAAAGAAAATCATTTGCAAATAATACTGTTTGGTTTTTAAAAGTTGGGAAAATCAGACTGGATTCTCCAAGCCCAAGGATTGTGATAACTCAAAACTCAACACTGGATCAGCCCAGGGCTGTAGTTTCTCCTGCCCTACTGGCCTCACTCTCCTTAGCTTGACCCTAACTGTTGGGGTGTCCTGGGGACAGCTGGGGGTGTCCTGTCCTGTTGACATATTCCCCCTAGATGATCCCAACTGGCCCTGTGGTTTAAATGTCATTTATACAATGACCCCAAATTTGTGAATCCAGTCCTGATCGTCACTGGAATTCCAGTCTTGCATACTCAATTATCTACTTTATATTTCCATATAAATGTATAATAAGCATCTCAAACTTAATGTGGCCAAAACCTGCTCTCTTCCAAGCCTTCCTCATGTCAGTGAATAAAACCACTGGCATCGGGGCTTCCCAGGTGGCACAGTGGTTGGGAATCAGCTTGCTAATGCCAGGGACATGGGTTCAAGCCCTGGTCTGGGAAGATCCCACAGGCCGCAGAGCAACTGAGCCTGTGCGCCACAACTACCGAGCCTGCGCTCTAGAGCCCGTGAGCCACAACTACTGAGCCCGCGTGCCACAGCTAGTGAAGCCCACGTGCCTAGAGCCCGTGCTCTGCAACAAGAGAAGCCACCACAATGAGAAGCCTGCGCACCGCAATGAAGAGTAGCCCCCGCTTGCCACAACTAGAGAAAGCCTGTGCGCAACAACAAAGACCCAACACAGCCAAAAATAAATAAATGAAATAAAATAAAATTTAAAAAAACAAAAGGCATTGCTCTTTAAAACAAAATAAAACAAAAAAACACTGCCATCAAGATACTCAAGCCAAAAATCTAGAAGTTGGTTCTTCTTTCACCGGACTCCACTGCAAGCCACTGGCAAAATCTGGGATGCTACCTCCAAAACATATCTGGAGACTGCCTCCTGCTCTCTATCTTTATTACTACATACCTGGTTCAGCTGCCACAAAGATTCACCAGTACTGCCAAGGCTCCTGGTTGGTCTCTCTCCTTTATTTCTATGCACTACAATTTATTTTCCACATAGCAACCCGAGTAATCATTAAAATAAAAAGATATCATATTACTTCTCTATTTAAATCCCCCTATGGGAATTCCCTGGTGGCCCAGTGGTTAGGACTCTGTGCTTTCACTGCTGAGAGCACAGGTTCAATCCCTGGTGAGGGAACTAAAAGCCCACAAGCTGTGTGGTGTGGCAGAAAAAAAAAAAATCCCCCTATCATCTTCCCTTTATCTTTAGAATAAAATCCAACCCTGCGCCTCAGCCTAGAGGCCCTTCACAATTCGGCATAGCTGCCCCTTCCGTCCTCTTCTCCTATCACTCTTGTGCTAACCCTCTGTGC